GCTGAAGCTAGCAGCCAATAACAGCAGCCATTAAGCGCGTAGAAGCTAGCAGCCAATAAGGAAATTCATCAAAGAACTGAGAGTACTCAGACGCAGTACTGTTTTTAATAGGTTATTTTAGATAATTAATGGTTAATGATTATCAAATTAATGCAACAATTAATTACATAATAAATCAGATACTCAGAGGCAGTAAGGCTCACCTGAACAATTTTTGTTCTTTTTTAAAACCGAAAAATAAGAAATGCATTACTTTATAATTTTAATCCAATTGAACAAACAAGCACTAGGAAATGGTTAACTCCTTCAGGAAGAATCCCTTTTCAACTCCTTCAGGGACCTCAAGAGTATGACAGGGCCAATAAGCTAACCTGAAATTTGATTAATATATAACGATTGTAAACAGAAATATAGCACAAGTGTAAACTAGGCTGAAGTATGTTTCGAACATTATTAGTGTAAACTAGGCTGAAGTATGTTTCGAACATTATTACTGGGACAACTTAATGAATCTATCAGACTGTAAATTACCACTATCAGTAATAAGTGGTGGTGGTGCCACTAAGTGGTTCCAAATTTTGATATTACAGGCAGGTATTATACCCATGATTTATAAAGTGATCAACATTACTAGGGCAAGATAGAAGGGCCCTAGGATTATTATTTCCTGCTATCAGAAGGGGCTTTAGTGGTACCACCAGGTGGTGCCAAGTGCATGGGTCATATTTCAAGCAATCATTCGTCATCAATTATTGGTCATTAAGTTAAGGGTCTTAGAGGGAATCCCTTGTCAACGTTTCAAAAGGTCCCAGGGACTGGAATGGGCCAGTTATCAACTATGAACTTTGCTTGTTTTGCATTTTATCCCAAAAACGCCATTAAAGATCAGCTATTACAGGCCTAATCTTTGAAGTGTTCACAAATGATTAATGGGGCAAGGTAGAGGGGCCCTAGGGCTATCATTTGCCACTTTCAGAATGGGGCTGTAGTGGCACCACCTAGTGGTGCCAAGTGCGTGGGGCATATTTCCAGCATTCATATTTTATTCATTGTTGGCCTCCTGAACAAACTAACACTGGGGGTGGGTAGGGGGCCTTAGGGGGTACCTCTTGACAGATTTCCGCAGGGTCGTAGGGGCTGGAAGGGTCCAGTTAGCTAACCTGAACTTTGATGTTTTTAATCATTGTAGATTGGGAAACGGGAAAAGGGCAGCTATTATACGCCTTATCCTTGAAGTGTTCAGCAAATAATTATTGGGGCAATGTAGAGGGGCCCTAGGGCTATCATTTGCCACTTTCAGAATGGGGCTGTACTGGCACCACCCAGTGGTGCCAAGTGCGTGGGGCATATTTCCAGCATTCATATTTTATTCATTGTCGGCCTCCTGAACAAACTAACACTGGGGGTGGGTAGGGGGCCTTAGGGGGTACCCCTTGACAGATTTCCGCAGGGTCGTAGGGGCTGGAAGGGTCCAGTTAGCTAACCTGAACTTTGATGTTTTTCATCATTGTACATTGGGAAACGGGAAAAGGGCAGCTATTATACGCCTTATCCTTGAAGTGTTCATCAAATGATTATTGGGGCAATGTAGAGGGGCCCTAGGGCTATCATTTGCCACTTTCAGAATGGGGCTGTAGTGGCACCACCCAGTGGTGCCAAGTGCGTGGGGCATATTTCCAGCATTCATATTTTATTCATTGTCGTCCTCCTGAACAAACTAACACTGGGGGTGGGTAGGGGGCCTTAGGGGTACCCCTTGACAGATTTCCGCAGGCTCGTAGGGGCTGGAAGGGTCCAGTTAGCTAACCTGAACTTTGATGTTTTTCATCATTGTAGATTGGGAAACGGGAAAAGGGCAGCTATTATACGCCTTATCCTTGAAGTGTTCATCAAATAATTATTGGGGCAATGTAGAGGGGCCCTAGGGCTATCATTTGCCACTTTCAGAATGGGGCTGTAGTGGTACCACCCAGTGGTGCCAAGTGCGTGGGGCATATTTCCAGCATTCATATTTTCTTCATTGTCGGCCTCCTGAACAAACTAACACTGGGGGTGGGTAGGGGGCCTTAGGGGGTACCCCTTGACAGATTTCTGCAGGGTCCTAGGGGCTGGAAGGGTCCAGTTAGCTAACCTGAACTTTGATGTTTTTCATCATTGTAGATTGGGAAACGGGAAAAGGGCAGCTATTATACGCCTTATCCTTGAAGTGTTCATCAAATAATTATTGGGGCAAGGTAGAGGGGCCCTAGGGCTATCATTTGCCACTTTCAGAATGGGGCTGTAGTGGCACCACCCAGTGGTGCCAAGTGCGTGGGGCATATTTCCAGCATTCATATTTTATTCATTGTCGGCCTCCTGAACAAACTAACACTGGGGGTGGGTAGGGGGCCTTAGGGGGTACCCCTTGACAGATTTCTGCAGGGTCCTAGGGGCTGGAAGGGTCCAGTTAGCTAACCTGAACTTTGATGTTTTTCATCATTGTAGATTGGGAAACGGGAAAAGGGCAGCTATTATACGCCTTATCCTTGAAGTGTTCATCAAATAATTATTGGGGCAAGGTAGAGGGGCCCTAGGGCTATCATTTGCCACTTTCAGAATGGGGCTGTAGTGGCACCACCCAGTGGTGCCAAGTGCGTGGGGCATATTTCCAGCATTCATATTTTATTCATTGTCGGCCTCCTGAACAAACTAACACTGGGGGTGGGTAGGGGGCCTTAGGGGGTACCCCTTGACAGATTTCCGCAGGGTCGTAGGGGCTGGAAGGGTCCAGTTAGCTAACCTGAACTTTGATGTTTTTCATCATTGTAGATTGGGAAACGGGAAAAGGGCAGCTATTATAGGCTTATGCATATCTAATATCACCTATAACTTCAACATAATCTGTCAAACTGAACGCGACATTTGTCGCAAATTTGTAAACAAAGTATAGACATGGCAGTTCTATTGTATCCTAGGCTTTCAATTATTAGCTCGATTTGTTCAAAGATTAAACAAATTGAAATAATTTGTTTTTACAGAAAATCTGCAATTTTATTATACACCAATCGTATTTCTCAAAACTATTTAGTACGGATTACTGTCTTGTTCAACCAGGAAGTTGGAACTCTTGACGTAGTGTTTAGAACGTATCCCTTACAAGCAAAGAGTCGTGAGTTCGATACCGGCTGGGTGCATTTTAATTTTTTTTTTAAAGTTTTTTTTTCTTATTTCTTCAACCCAAAGACCTTTTAAAGTTGGAAAGGCCACAGGAACAATAAGATTACCAGTATTTTGTTTTTCTTTTATGCATAAGAGTTTTTTTTCATTGGGAAACATTTGTTTTTGAATAAATATTATATTAAATATTATTAACAAGTTTACATAATGATTACTAGTATTTTCTTTTATTTTTGCATAAGATTTTTTTTACTTTAATGGAAAAAATTTGCACATGCATACATTTTATTTTTTATACCGGTAATATTATTTACAAGTTCAGATCATAAGTTTCACGTTTGAAAAATCTTATTACCTCTAAAAAGTGCAAAGTTACGATGTTAAAAATATGAGTCCATCATAAAATCTTTATTATATATTGCCAGTTTGCACCTCATTATGCCCCCGTAAACTAAGTTTTTGGGGTATATAGTTTTTGCCGTGTCCGTCCGTTTGCATCTCTGTCTGTTTGGCCGTGAAAACTTTAATCTTGTCCTTAACTTTTGGTTTAATGAGGCTATGACTTTCATATTTCACGTGTGTACTCCGTGTAACAAGACTTTTCTTTTTGAACCACCAAATTTGACCTTTTTCACCTTGACCTTGGAGTTTGACCTACTTTTAAATTTTTTAGCCTTGTCCATAACTTTTGAACGGTAAGGGTCAAAACTTCCATCCTTTACATACTCAGTATGAATTCTATGTGACAAGACCTTACATTGGATACTAGTTACCTTGACCTTTGGACTTTGACCATGGAGATTTCTATACTTATGAACAAGATGCATTTTTTGAAACACTATGCACCCGGGGGTTAAGTTAAAAAAATTTTTTTATAATATATAGGTCACAGTCAAGGTCACAAAGAACTTGAATAGTGCATCATGCATACTAAATATGCAGTTTATATCTCTCATGGTTCCAAACGAGGTATTTTTAGCATATATGACACAATCAAGGTCACAAGGTCATTGGCCTTGGTGGCATGTAAATGTGCTTCATTAGTGAAGTATTCATAAATATTGTCTCTATCTTTCTTCGTTCAAAAGTTATGGCCAAGGTTAAAATTGCAGAAAAAAAACTGTATTTAGCGTATACACTGTAGGTCACAGTCAAGGTCACAAGGTCATTGGCTATGGTGGCATTTAAAAGAGCTTAACCAGTGGTGTATGCATACCAAATATGAAGTCTCTATCTTTTATGGTTCAAAATTTATGGCGAATGTAAAAGTTTACAGAAAAAAATATTTTTAGCATATAGGTCACAGTCAAGGTCACAAGACTTTTGAACACTTGGGGCTAGTGATATCATAATTCACTTATATAATCCTTCATTGGATACTATGAACTTTGACCCTTTGACCTTGCAGTTTGACATACTTTTAAAAAGTAAACCTTAACCATCACTTTTGAAGGGTTAGGCCAAGTGCTTTCATACTTTACATATTTAATCCTTGTGACAACGTCACAACATGGAACTTCCGTAAAAACGCCATTTTGATTATGATCAGATACAAATTCACTTAACACCGATATATCTTAACCAACATGCGACATTGTGGATGCAATATATCACATCAATTAATATGTAGTGTATCTCAATACTTATCCTTTCTTTAAAAATGAATGCATTTGATCAGATAAGACATATGTATTATCTTCCTATCAAACAATTTGTATACACCCGAATGAATGGTTATACCCGGTGAAATTTCGCATGACCCAAACGTTTGATCAACATTGATTGTCAGCTGTTTACAAATGGGAAACGTGCAGGTTTTAGACGAATTTGCATTTGGTTTTAGGAATTTCTTTTACCGCTTTTGGTCATTTACCATCTTAACTTGTTTTGTTATATATAGCACTGAATAACACATGCAAGTTGGATAAAAACGGTAAGTAAATCTACCTTTCTCAATACCATGAATTCACTCAGTACATGTCTTTGTCATTGACTGGAGTGGAAACGCGATGATTTTCGCTTAAACCAATTGAAAAACAATACATGTACAATAAGAACTTCTTTCAATGTCCTTGCGTGACATTTGTTTAATACTTGTGCTTATATAAAAAAAAAAACAGTACCAAGATATTTGATCCATACCTGAATTTTTGTGATGTTTATAAATTTTTGACAGTTTTTCAATTTTTTTTTATTTCTTTTTATCATTGTTTTTACCCTTTGATATTATATATCTTTTCAGATATTGAAGAGGATCCAACCAGCTGTTCTCAAGAAAATGCTGTTTTAGTTTTTCTTTTGTCTATTTTTGTAAATTTAAATAAAAATTATGTTGATTTTATTTTTAGCTTTGTTGGTTATTATTTCAATATTTTATAACACTAAACTTAGAAGAGAAATTTAAAGCAATGGGCATTCAAAAAAATTGATAGGAAGGATTTTAACAAAATAAATAAAATATTTCAAATAATTCTGAATAATAAATTGAAATACTTTGGAACCTTATTTTATCGGATATGGGGCCTATTATTAGAAACAAATGCATGCAACAAAAATCAGTTATACTTTATACTTAACATATTTAATCCTTGTGACAGGACCTTTCATTTGAAAGCAAGACCTTTGACTTTGGAGTTTGACCTACTTTTTAACATCTTTAACCTCCGCCATAACATCTAAAAGGTAAGGTCTAAGGCTTTCATAATTTACATATGTATTTTTGTGGCAAGACCTTTCATTGGATATCAATGACCTTGACCTTGAAGTATTCCTTACTTGTGAAAAACTTTAGTCTTGGCCAAATTTAATATTTTACAATTGTATTTTTAGCGAGAATACCGTATATATTAAATTTGCACTCACAAAAACATCTTGTTTAATTTTGTGATCCTACACATATTTTGGGTTTCTCATAGCAAAGCATTGACTTTTCCACTATATTTTTATGGGATACGGGGGTATCATTTAACAAACTCATTGCTCACAGAGCCTCTTGTTAATTAGTTATCAAAAGCATAGCTTTGTTTTAATAATGTCACTACAAAGAGGTTCCTATAATTGGAGCTAGTGTTTTCCTTTGGGTCATACTAAGGTATATCGTGCCTTAATCATACCCCACCTCCACCCCACCAACCCACACACTTAAAAGCGGGAGGGTACGTTTTTAAAGGTAAGACAAACCCCGAGGTCAAGGTCAAAAGGTCATAGTTATTGGTTTCTGCACAAGGCCATGTCTCAAAGATTACATTTGGGAAGTATAAATGCGTTGGTCCTTACCGTTTAAAAGTTATGGCCAAGGTTAAAGTTTGTAAAAAGTAGGTCGAACTCCAATGTCAAAGGGTCAAACGACTTGATATCCAATGAAAGGGCTTGTCACAAGGATTACATATGTCAAGTATGAAAACCCTAGCACTTACTTTTCAAAAGTTTTACCCAAGGTAAAAGTTATTTTACAAGAACATAAATCTCCAAGGCCAAAGGGTCAAGGTTATTAGTATCCAATGAAAGGTCTTTCAACAAAAAATGGATTTTTGAAGTATACATATGTCCTGGTATCTACTGTTTTAAAAGATAAAAAAAAAAATTAGATTTTTTTTGTTAAAATGTGTTTAACTTGAAGGTCAAGGTCAAAAAGATAGATTTGGTGGTACACAAAGAAAGTTCTTGTCACAAAGAGTACACACGTGAAATATGAAAGTCATAGCTCTATTAAATCAAAAGTTTAGGACAAGGTTTAAGTTTTGCGGACAAACAAACAAACAGCTAGACGAACGGACGGACACGACAAAAACTATACACCCCCCAAAACTTCGTTCCGGGTGGGATAATAAGAGGTGCAAAATGGCAATATATAATAAAGATTCTGTAATGGTCTAATACTTTTAAAATCGAAATTTTGCATTTTTTAGAAGTGAAGAGATTTTTCAAACGTTAAACATGATGTGAACTTATAATTAATATCATATAACATAAAATGTATACATATGCAAATATCTAACATTAAAGTGCAAAAAACTGTGATTATGAAATACTGATGCCCCGTATAGCAACATAGTGAAGATTAAACTTTTCTGAGATAAAAAAGTTAATATATTGGTACCTAAAGTAGTGCCTTCTAACTGGAAATACAATTGCAAGACATGAAAGCAGGCTTAAGTTTTTTCATAAGTACAAAAACCTTCAAGATCAAGGTAATGAGGTCAAGTTTATTGGTATCCAATGAAAGGTCTCTCCACAAAGATAACATATTCGAAGGATGGAAGCCCTAGCCCTAACCATTCAAAAGTTATAAGGTTAAAAAAGATTTTTATGTACGTTAAACTCCAAGATCAAGGTCAGAAGGTTAAGGTTATTGGTACTGATTAAAAGATCTTGTAACAAGAATTACATATGTGAAGGTTGAAAACCCTAGCCCTTCCTCTTCGAAAGTTATTTCCAAGGTTGACGTTTTCTCCTAAGTCCGGAAATCTCAAAGGTCAAGGTCAAAATTCTTGGTTTTAATGAAAGGTCTTGCCAAAAAGAAGTTATATTTGAAGAATGAAATTCAAAAGTAAAAATATGCAATTTTTGTGTAAAAGTGGGTCTAACTCCAAGGTCAAAGTCAAAATGTGAGGGTTTTTGGTATCAAATGAGAGGTCTTTCTACAAGAATAAAATATGTGAAGCATAAAAGTCTAGTACTAACCCCTCAAAAATTATAGTCAAAGTTGTATTTTTAAAGTAGGTCAAACTCCAAGGTCAAAGGGTCAAAGTCCTTGGTGTAAAATGAAGCGTCTTCTCACAAGAATTACATTTGTGAAGTATGAAAGCCCTAGCACTTTCTGTTCAAAAGTTATAGTCAAGCTTAAAGATTTTTCATAAGTACGTAAATCTCCAAGGTCAAGGTCAAAAAGTCAAGGTTTGTGGTATCCAATGAAAGGCCGTGCCACAAAAAATACATACGTGAAGTATAAATGTCCTGATAGATATTGTTTAAAAGAAATGGCCAAAGTAAATATTCAAAATTTGTGTGTAAAAGTGGGTCAAACCTCAAGATCAAGGTCAAAAGGTCAAATTTGGTGGTACCCAAAAGAAGGTCTTCTCTCTAGAAATACACATGTGAAATATGAATTTCATAGCTCTACTAAATCAAAAGTTATGAATAAGAATAAAAGTTTTTGCGGACAAACAGAGAGACAGAAAGACAGACAGACGGACACGACAAAAACTATATACCCCCCGAAACTTCGTTTCCGGGGGCATAATAAAAAAAAATTTAAAATGCACCCAACCGGTATCGAACTCACAACTCTTTGCTTGAAATGCATACATTCTAGACACTACGTCACGAGTTCCAACTTCCTGGTTGAACAAGACAGTAATCCGTACTTAATAGTTTTGAGAAACACGATTGCTGTATAATAAAATTGCAGATTTTCTGTAAAAACAAATTATTTCGATTTGTTCAATCTTTGAACGATCAAGTTAATAAATGAAAGGACTGGTTAAGATACAATAGAACTGCCGTGTCTATACTTTGTTTACAAATTTGCGACAAATGTCGCGTTCAGTTTGACAGATTATGTTGAAGTTATAGGTGACATTAGATAAGCATAAGCCTATAATAGCTACCTTTTCCCGATTAACAATATACCATGATGAAAAACCTCAAAGATCAGGTTAGCTAACCGGTCCATCCCAGCCACTGGGTCATTTTGAAACGTTGACAGGAGATACCCCCTAAGACCCTTAACCTATCCTCGGTGTTAGTTGGTTTAGGTGTCCAATAAAGCAAGACAAATGAATGCTGTAAAATAATATACCCCACGTAGTTGGCACCTCCAAGTGGTGCCACTACAGCCCCATTCTGAAAGTGGAAAGTGATAGCTTTAGGGCCCCTCTACCTTAACCCAATCATTCGATGAACACTTCAAGGATAAGGCGTATAATAGTTGCCCTTTTCCCGTTTCACAATGTACAATGATGAAAAACATTAAAGTTCAGGTTAGCTAACTGACCCTTTCCAGCCCCTACGACCCTGCAGAAATCTGTCAAGGGATACCCTCTAAGGCCCCTTACCCCTCACTAGTGATAGTTTGTACAGGAGGCCGGCAATGGATAAAATATGAATGCTGTAAATATTCCCCACGCACTTGGCACCACCAAGTGGTGCCACTACAGCCCAATTCTGAAAGTGGGGAGTGACAGCCTTAGGGTCTCTCTACCTTGTCCCAATAATCATCCGATGAACACTTCAAGGATAAGGCGTATAATAGCTGCCCTTTTCCCATTTCCCAATGTACAATGATGAAAAACATCAAAGTTCAGGTTAGCTAACTGGACCCTTCCAGCCCCTAGGACCCTACAGAAATCTGTCAAGGGGTACCACTAAGGCCCCTTACCCATCCCCGGTGATAGTTTGTTCAGGAGGCCGGCAATGAATAAAAAATGAATGATGTAAATATGCCCCACGCACTTGGCACCTCCAAGTCATGCCACTACAGCCCCATTCTGAAAGTGTGAAGTAATAGCCCTAGGGCCCCTCTACCTTGCCCCAATAATCATTCGATGAAAACTTCAAGGATAAGGCGTGTAATAGCTGGCCTTTTCCCGTTTCCCAATATACAATGATGAAAAAATATCAAAGTTCAGGTTAGCTAACCGGCCTTTCCCGGCCCCTGGGGCGCTTTGAAACTTTGACAGGGGATACCTCCTAAGACCCTTAACCCATCCCAGGTGAAAGATGACTCAGGTTCCCAGAAATGGGGGACAAATGAATGCTTGAAATATGCCCCACGCACTTGGCACAACTTGGTGGTGCCACTACAGCCCCAATTTGAAGGTGGGAAATAATAGCCCTAGGACCCCACTACCTTGCCCCAGTAATCATTTGATGAACACTTCAAAGATAAGGCATATAATAGCTGGCCTTTTCCCGTTTCCCAATATACAATTATGAAGAAGCATCAAAGTTCAGGCTAGCTAACCGGCCTTTCCCGGCCCCTAGGGCCCTTTGAAACTTTGAAAGGAGATACCCCCTAAGACCCTTAACCCATCCCCAGTGAAAGATGGTTCAGGTTCCCAGAAATGGAGGACAAATGAATGCTTGAAATATGCCCCACGCACTTGGCACCACTTGGTGGTGCCACTACAGCCCCAATTTGAAGGTGGGAAATAATAGCCCTTGGACCCCACTACCTTGCCCCAGTAATCATTTGATGAACACTTCAAAGATAAGGCGTATAATAGCTGGCCTTTTCCCGTTTCCCAATATACAATGATGAAAAAACATCAAAGTTCAGGCTAGCTAACCGGCCTTTCCCGGCCCCTGGGGCCCTTTGAAACTTTGATAGGAGATACCCCC